ATAATTGTAGTTTTGTTCAAAAAAAAGAAAAAGGTGATGCTGACTCTTGCAGTTTCTGAGAAATATCTGACCGCAGTTCCTGTGACATGGGGCCTCGCTCCACTACTCGCCGATGTGCAAAATCAGAACGAATCTTCTGCTAGAACATGGAAAGATACATCCCCTTTTGTTTTTGTCTTTTGTGCATATGGAGAGTAGCGGAGAGAGGCCCATCGTGATGGTGTCAATAACATACATTGTCAATCTCATGTGCGAGTATGGTGTTATAGTTGTTTCGGCAGTTTTCTGTCCCTTTCTTTTTTCCTTTCATGCAGTGTAGTCCTCCGTCCCCCCTCTCTCCCTCTCTCTCCCTCTTTCTTCCCCTCTCACCCTCCTCCCCCTCTTCTTCCCCTTCTTGTCTTTCACTTCTTCTTTTTTTTAATCTTTTTTTTTTTTTTTTTTTTTTTTTTTTTTTTTTTTTTTCACTTTTGTCAGACAGAGAAAGGAGGAGATCTCCCTTAGCGATTGAGGAAGGAGTTAATGTCCTTTTCGCGTTTGCTGTTCTCACACAGGTAACGACTTCGCAAGGACGATTGGATCAACCGCCTGAATGTGGACGTGTTTGTGGAGAGGTGCAGAGAATCGGAATTTTTATCTGCTTTTCTGCATAGGATTCTCTGCATGAAACTCGTCCAGATTTCAGAATGTGGACGTGTTTGTGGAGAGGTGCAGAGAATCGTGTTTAATCGAATCCTCTTTGCTATTTTGACCTCTACCTTGCTGCCCACTTCCTTCCTATCCTTTCTCTCTTTTTCCTTCTACCCACAAACAAACAAACAAAAAAAAAAAAATAATAATAATAATAATAATAATAATAATTATTATTAATGTTTTTTTTTTTTTTTTTTTTTTTTTTTGAAAAAAAACAGCTCCATCTATTGGTGGGGAGCAACACCTGCTGGAAACCGGGTCCAGCGTCCCATAGATACAACCATATCCTCTTAATTTGGCACAAACTGGGAACCGGGCCCAGCATCCCATCATCAGAAAATTTCATGAATTTACACAAGGAACTACTAGAAAAATCCAAACAGCGATTAGTGGAAGTCCTTCGAATGCTCAGAACCCTTGGAAGCTCCCCACAAAAATCACTCTAAAATTCTCTAATACTGTCTTCCTCCCTGCCGAGCTCTCCCAGGCCTCATGCCCCCACCCTGCTAGGTTACAGGGCAACACGACTCACCGCAGCTCCGGCCAGCGTCGTCCCGACAGCACCCCTTGGTTTTCCCTTAGAATGCCCGGCCCAAAGCATCCCCAGATCTCTCTACCAGGCCTCACGCTCCTGCTATTAACAGGTTACAGGGCAATCCCCCAGCACCGGCCAGCGTCGTTCTGGCATCGAAAAACCAACAGATCCATGAGTAAACAGCATCCAGGAAACCTAGACTGCTTTGCAAGAAGTACCCAGAGTCCTAAACAATTCTCAAGACTACCTAAAATATCCAGAAACTAGGGCCAGATTAAGATTTTTTTGAGGTGACTATGACAAAATTCAGAAATGTACTCAGAGAAACCCCCCATCAGACCTCTACGCCTCCCTCCGGCAAGACTAACTGCATTATAGCCACCATCTCTGCTGCTGCTGTGCCATACTCCCATCCTACCAGCTGGCCCCCCCACTGATAGGACGCGTGATATCCCCCCATTTTCTTCTCCCACCCACCCTATTCTCTTCTCAAGGTACGTCAGAACACATTATAGTATAAAAGAGCATGAGAATAGGCCGCAGGGGTCCTGCAAATGATCCAAAAAACGTTGAAGTCCCTCACACACCCTTCCGAAGTCTTCCAAAGCTGTCTTACTCCCTGCCGAGATCTTCCAGGTCTCCCACCCCCACATCTAGCTGGGTTACAGGGCAACACGACTCACCCCAGCTCCGACCAGCGTCATCCCGGCAGTAACCCTTGGATGTCCCGTGGAATGCCCACCCCAAAGCATCCCCAGATCTCTCTACTAGGCCTCATGCTCCCGCATTGCAGGTTACAGGGCAACTCCCCAGCACCGGCCAGCGTCGTTCTGGCATCGGACAACCGCAAATCATAGAGTGCAACAACCTCGAAACCACCTCAGGATGAGTTAGCAGGAATCTCAAAATCCTGAAGACCATCCGGGACTACCAACCGACCTAATCTTATTAAGATTTTCGCTGTAAACTTTATGAGAACGGGGGGGGCGAAACTAAAACGCCTACTATCTTAAAATCCCCCTTCAACAGACGAAGTGTCAGTCCAGGCTTTCAGTCTTCGTACCAGAACTCACTTGATCTCATACCCCCTCTCTGCTAGGGTAACAGGAAACCACAACCCTCCCCAGTACCGACCAAACTCGTTCTGACGTTCAGGAAGTGCCTTCCTCCCTCGGCAGTTCCTGTGGCGGCAAGCCCCTAACCGGTTACAGGGTCACTACCTCGGCGCCAGCCTCATTGGATGGTCTGGTTATGCGCTCAGCATAACTTCGCAGGCCTCAAGCTCCCCCCCGGGTTACAGAGCACAGGCTCCAGCACCGGCCTGCGTCATCCCAACACCGTCCTTCTAACCTACTTACCCTGACCAACGACCCTCCTCTGTTAAGAACCCTTTCTACCTTCCATCCCCAATTCCAGCTTCGCACCCCTAAGAAATCAAAATTT